GATTTACTACTTCTCTACACAAAGCTCATTGGCAGAACAACTAGTCATATGGAAGGTGGTGAGCTCGAAGTCAAGTGATTGTTCCAACCAACACTGTATCAATATCCAGAGCACGAGCAAACATAACTCCCTTCCTCGCGCAAAGATCTATGTACTGATTTCAACTCCCAAGGTATATCCTGCCGGGGAAAAGTCTGTGCACGTGCACATGGTGTAAAGTGAGCATCAGCACCTAATACCTTCTCCATGATTTGAGCCTTATGCTTTCTCTATTTTTTGACGTCTCTTTATATTCTCCTCTCAAAAGTCAAAACTGTAAGCTTGAAATACAACTTCAAGATTAAATCGATCATTTTAACTTGAAACTTTCACCTTCAAATACTACTTCTAGCTTAAACCTATCATTTTAAGCACTGGAACGCGGATCATTTGTTTTCCATTTTCCTGGCTGGTTAAATAATAAGATAAAATTTGGTGAATAGAAAAGTTCACAAGCCAGTGGTTTCATTCTGGGCTATAACTTCTGAGCATAGGTGAAATTATTAGATAGTCTCTCATTTCATGGTTGAAGGATGTAATTCAAGCAATGCAGTTTTGATGCAAATACAATAAAGTAATTAAACAGTCACAGGAAAGGGGAAAAAGGGTAAAAAGGAAAGAAAGAAAGAAAGCTTTAGAAACCTGCAACGCAGAAAATTATTTATAATAGCTAAAGAGGAAAACATCGTTTCGGTACTGGATTTTTGATATTGAGCCTTATCATTGTCTTCAAAGCATTCATAGATACGCGATTAATTATCTTCAAGTGATTAAAAAGCCTAAACAGACCATGTCACAAAACCACATTTGTTCTAAAGACAACAATTTATAAACAAAACCAAGAATGTCATTGCACAAGGTAGTTTACATTGTCAAGTTGCCAACAATCTCAACATACAAAATCTAATAAGCATGAAAACTTATGCCAGGAGAAGTTGACCACAGTTTCTCTGAAGAAGCTCACTTTCCAGGAACAGAGTTGGTGGCATAAGACCAGGGATTGTTGTTGACAGGATCAGCAAGGTGATCAGCGAAGTTCTCCAGAGGTCCCTTTCCAGTCACAATTGCCTGAACAAAGAATCCGAACATCGAGAACATCGCCAATCTACCGTCCTTGGTCTCCTTCACCTTCAGCTCAGCAAAAGCCTCGGGATCATCCGCGAGCCCCACACAGTCAAAAAACTGCCGCCGTGGTACCAAAGGATCAGCTAACCTTAACCAAGAGGCTACGGCAACTTGAAGAAAATTACAGGAATAGCATAGGAGAAGCCAGAAAGTCTGGCGGTCGACGCCAATTGCACGAGCTACCAGGATTCGGGAGTGATTCGGTCGACCGACTGCGGTCGACCGCGGATGACGTGTAAGCGATTTTTGCTCTTCGAGACTGAGATTCCGTTGACCGCCCGGGTCGACCGCGAGGACCCGGCGGTCGACCGCTGTGGTCGACCGACGATGAACTGGGCTGCGCCTTTTGGTTTTTAACCCGTTTTGTTTCTAAGTTGTATATAACTCAAATCCTGATTATTTAGGGTTATGCAAGGACGAATTTGAGCAGCCTTAAAGAGAGAATAGTTGCATCCAATTGTGGGAGAGTTGAGAGAGATCAAGAGCTTTGTTTTAGGGTTTGATCTGAGAGATTTGTAACTCTACTTGTATTCTCTGATTTCTAATAGTAAGAACTCCCCCCTCCTTGCCCCGTGGACGTAGGCAACTTGTAGAACCACGTAAATCTCTTGTTCTTGCTGTGATTGTGGTTTGCATATTAGTTGTGGTTAGTTCGAGTTATTGTTCGTGTTGCCAGAGAAAGCTTTCGCCGCGCACAACAATTGGTATCAGAGCTAGATCGACAACATGGGAGATGTAAGCACGTCAGGTTCGTCTCTTACAAAGGCGATACAGAGTCTGAGCATCAATAACACAAAGATTGATGTTCCGAAGTTCGACGACAAGATCAATTTTGGATTGTGGAGGTGTCAGGTGATGGATGCCTTGGATGCACAGAATTTGGAGGAGACTCTTGAGTTAAAAGAAAAACCCGCTGAGTTGGAGGATAAGGTTTGGAGGAAGATGAACAGTAAAGCTTGTGGTGTTATTAGGTCATGCTTGACGCCGGATCTTATTTACGATGTTATGAACGAGACGTCGACGAAGAAGATGTGGGAAACACTCAATGAGAAATATCTTATGAAGAGCATTGAGAATCGGCTTCACTTGAAGAAGAGATTTTATCAGTTCAAGATGAAGAGGGGAGTTTCCATCAGGGAGCATGTCAACAACTTCACTAAGCTACTTTCAGATATGGCCAATGTTGATATTATAGTTGAGGATGAAGACAAGGCGATGCTACTTCTGTGTTCGTTGTCCGAAGATGATTATGGTACGTTCGTTCTCACTATGATCAATGGAAGAACTACAGTCAGCTACAAGGAGGTGACCTCAGCTTTGGTGAATTATGAGTTGAGGAAGAATGATGGTGAACCCTCCGAGAAGACATCGGGAGATGCATTAGCAGTTCGAGGCCGAGATCCAAACCGTCGCCAGTTCAACCGCTCAAAGTCAACGAATAAGAGTGCCTATAAGAATGTTGGTAGAAATCAATATCGGTATTGTAAAGAAGAAGGACATTGGAAGATTGACTGCCCAAAGTGGAAAGAAAAAAACCGGAAAGAATAAGGGGAAAATTGCACAAGCTTCAGAAGTGAATGTTGCAAAAGTTATTGGTGAGCATTCAGATTCAGATTCTTCAGGCTATTCATGCCCTGTTACCGTCAGTTTTCTATGCGGATTCCACTGAGTGAATGATGGATCCGGGGGCTACATATCACATCTGCCCTAAGAGGGAGTGGTTTTCTAGCTTTAAGGAGCTGGAAAGAGGGGATGTCGTGCTTATGGGTAATGACCATGTATGTCCTATTGATGGTATTGGTTCAGTCCAGATTAGGATGCATGATGGTGTAGTGAGGGAATTGAAGAAAGTGAGGTTCGTGCCGCAGTTGACGAAGAACATCATTTCTCTTGGGACTTTGGAGGCAGCAGGATATCGAGTGATATTAGAGGATGCTACAGTGAAGGTCACGAAGGGTTCTATGGTGGTGATGTGAGGTGTCAGGGAAAACAATCTATACTACTTGAAGGACAAGACTGTTACAAGGGGTCTGGCAGCTTCTATTACTACAGAGGAGGACACTACCACCTTATGGCACATGAGACTTGGATACACAGGTGATAAGTTCCTACAGTCATTAGCAAAACAGGGG